CTGCTGCTGCAGTGAGTGCATCCGTGGGAAAGAGGAAGAAGAGACAAAAAAAAGGGAAAGGTGGGCCGTTGGCGCGCAGGGGAGAGGGGTGTGGTGGGTGTGGTGCAGCAGTGAACGCTGTGGGCTGAGCCGCGTGGTGGTTAAAGACTCCGCGTTTTTAAAGCAGGGCGGGCCCAGGGAAGTGCGGCGCAACATGAGCGAGAGGAAGGCGCGTGTGGGGGGGTGGGGGAGGGTGCGGCTGCAGCCGTGCGCAGATGAATAGAGAGAGGCGAGCCGCGCGAGAAGGAAGCAGAAAAAAAGAAAAAAAAAGAGAAGAGGGGCTCTGTGAGAGGGGAGGATGGAGTGCGCACCCCTTCCTATCATGTTGCCGCATTATCTCATGGTTAACAGAAGAAAAAGAAAGAAACAGAAGAAAAGAAAAGGGCCCCGCCCCTGCCTGTAGGGATGGCTGCACTCGGAGTGGCTCCATGGCCGCTTGATTCTGCTGTTTCTTTTTTTTTTTTCGTTTTGCTTTCTCCTTCGCTTGCCCCACCCTTCCCTCCGTCCTTCCCCGTCTGTATCTATCGCCATCACTCGCTCCGTCTCCCTGTTCTTGCTTTGCTCTCTCGCTGCGCGTGGCTCCACCGGTCTTCTTCCCGCACTGTCTGGGCGCGGAAGTCATCCGAGAAAAAACACAATAAAGCAGGTAGGCTGTAAGTTCTGAGTGCTGGTGTGGGGTTGTCCGATGGATGCGCGTGCTCTGTCGTTGGCGGAGGGGCTCGTGTCGGCGCCGTACATCCGCGCGGGCTCAGAGGCACTGCGCTCTTCCGAGCGTGTGGTGCGCTCCATCATTGCGCAGCGCCGCTGCCCTGAGAAGGGCATCTCCGACGGCGCGGTAGAGCTGCTGCTACACCAGCTCGCAATGATGGACAGCAACAACTTCCCAGCACACGTCGGCGCCGGCGAGCGGGAGGGGCGTGTGGCAGTGTCGCTTGTCGCGCGTCGCCACTACGGCCTTGCCCATGGCATCGGCCGCTCGGGCGACATCCTAAGCGACCAGCCCAAGGCGGCGGGCTCGAGTCTGCTATACCAGATGACGAACGACATGATGCTGGACCTGCTGCGGCTCGCGGGGGCGCCGTCGTTGGAGAGCGCCGTTGTGTTCCCGATGGCGACGGGCATGACGCTGGCGCTGGCGCTCCGCAGCATTGCGCAGCACAGGCGCGACGATAAGTGTTTGCGGCAGGGGGCTTCCGACGCGTCGGAGGATGACAATGGCGACAGCAAAAGCAAGGACAAAGGCACCGACGATGAGTCAGCGACGGAAACGAAGGAAAGCGATGACGGTAACTGCGCGCGGTACGTGATTTGGACGCGCATTGACCAGAAGACGGCACTGAAGGCCATTGAGGCGGCGGGGCTCCGGCCGGTTGCCGTGCCGCTGCGAAACGCGCCGGTGCAGCGGCACGGCAACCGCAGC